ACATACAGACTGAAAGTGAGGGGATGGAAAAAGATATTCCATGCAAATGGAAATCAAAAAAAGCTGGAGTTGCAATTCTTATATCAGACAAAATAGACTTTAAAATAAAGACTATTATAAGAGATAAAGAAGGACACGACATAATGATCAAGGGTTCAATCCACGAAGAAGACATAACAGTTGTAAAAATTTATGCACTCAATATAGGAGCATTAAAATACATAAAGCAAATATTAACAGCCATAAAAGGGGAAATAGAAAGTAACACAATCATAATAGGGGACTTTAAAACCTCATATTCACCAATGGACAGATCATCCAAAATGAAAATAAATAAGGAAACACAAGCTTTCAATGATACAATAAACAAGATGGACTTAACTGATATTTATAGGATATTCCATACAAAAACAATAGAAGACACTTTCTTCTCAAGTGCTCATAGAACATTCTCCAGGATAGATCATACCTTGGGTCACAAATCAAGCGTTGGTACATTTAAGAAAATTGAAATCGTATCAAGTATCATTTCTGACCACAACGCTATGAGACCAGATTCCAATTACAGGGAAAAAATCTGTAAAAAATACAAAAACATGGAGGTTAACCTATACACTACTAAATAACCAAGAGATCACTGAAGTACTCAAAGAGGAAATCAAAAAATACCTAGAAACAAATGACAATGAAAACATGACAACTCAAAACCAATGGGATCCAGCAAAAGCAATTCTAACAGGGAAGTTTAGAGCAATACAGTCCTACCTCAAGAAATAAGAAACATCTCAAATAAACAACCTAACCATACACGTAAAGAATTAGAGAAAGCAGAACAAAAAAAAGAAAACCCAAAGTTAGCAGAAGGAAAGAAATCATAGAGATCAGATCAGAAATAAATGAAAAAGAAATGAAGGAAATGATAGCAAAGATCAATAAAACTAAAAGCTGGCTGTTAGAGAAGATAAAGAAAATTGATAAACCATTAGCCAGACTCATCAAGAAAACAAGGGAGATGACTCAAATCAAAAGAATTAGAAATGAAAAAGAAGTAACAACTGACACTGCAGAAATACAAAGGATCATGAGAGACTACTACAAGCAAATATACACCAATAAAATGGACGACCTGGAGGAAATGGACAAATTCTTAGAAAGCACAACCTTCTGAGACTGAACCAGGAAGAAATAGAAAATATAACAGACCAATCACAAGCACTGAAATTGAGACTGTGATTAAAAATCTTCCAACAAACAAAAGCCCAGGATGAGATAGCTACACAAGCAAATTCTATCAAACATTTAGAGAAGACTTAACACCTATCCTTCTCAAACTCTTCCAAAATACAGCAGAAGGAGGAACACTCCCAAACTCATTCGATGAGGCCACCATCATTCTGATACCAAAACCAGACAAAGATGGCACAAAGAAAGAAAATTACAGGCCAATATCACTCATGAACATAGATACAAAAATCCTCAACAAAATACTAGCAAACAGAATCCAACAGCACATTAAAAGGATCATACACCATGATCCAGTGGAGTTTATCCCAGGAATTCAAGGATTCCTCAATATAGGCAAATCAATCAATGTGATAAACCATATAAACAAACTGAAGCAGAAAAACCATATGATCATCTCAATAGATGTAGAAAAAGCTTTCAACAAATTTCAACATTCATTTATGATAAAAACACTCAAGAAAGTAGGCATAGAGGGAACTTACCTCAACGTAATAAAGGCCATATATGACAAACCCACAGCCATCATCGCTGCCAGTGGTGAAAAACAGAAACCATTTCTTCTAAGATCAGGACAAGACAACGTTGTCCTCTCTCACCACTATTATTTATTTAACATAGTTTTGGAAGTTTTAGCCACAGCTATCAGAGAAGAAAAAGAAACAAAAATAATCCAGATCAGAAAAGGAGTAAAGCTGTCACTGCAGATGACATGATACTACACATAGAGATCCTAAAAACGCTACCAGAAAACTACTAGAGCTAATCAATGAATTTGGTAAAGTAGCAGGATACAAAATTAATGCACAGAAACCTCCTGCATTCTTACACACTAACAATGCAAGATCTGAAAGAGAAATTAAGGAAACAATCCCATTTACCACTGCAACAAAAACAATAAAATACCTAGGAATAAACCTACCTAAGGAGACAAAAGACCTGTATGCAGAAAACTATAAGACACGGATGAAAGAAATTAAAGATGATAAAAACAGATGGAGAGATATACCATGACTTGGATTGGAAAATCAACATTGTGAAAATGACTATACTACCCAAAGCAATCTACAGATTCAAAAAATCCCTATCAAAGTACCAATGACATTTTTCACAAAACTAGAACAACAAATTTCACAATTCGTATGGAAACACAAAAGATCCCAAATAGTGAAAGCAATCTTGAGAAAGAAAAATGGAGCTGGAGGAATCAGGCTCCCGGACTTTAGAGTATACTACAGAGCTACAGTAAGCAAGACAGTATGGTACTGGCACAAAAGCAGAAATATAGATCAATGGAGCAGGATAGAAAGCCCAGAGATAAACCCACGCACATATGGCCACCTTAATTTTGATAAAAGAGGCAAGAATATACAAAGGAGAAAAGACAGTCTCTTCAATAAGTGGTGCTGGGAAAACTTGACAGCTACATGTAAAAGAATGAAATTAGAACACTCCATAACACCATACACAAAAATAAACTCAAAATGGATTAAAGACTTAAATGTAAGGCCAGACACTATCAAACTCTTAGAGGAAAACATAGGCAGAACACTCTATGATATAAATCACAGCAAGGTCCTTTTTGACTCACCTCCTAGAGTGTTGCAAATAAAAGCAAAAATAAACAAATGGGACCTAATGAAACTTCAAAGTTTTTGCACAGCAAAGGAAACCATAAACAACACCAAAAGACAACCCTCAGAATGGGAGAAAATATTTTCAAATGAAACAACTGACAAAGGATTAATCTCCACAATTTACAAGCAGTACATGGAGCTCCATATCAAAAAGACAAACAACCCAATCCAAAAATGGGCAGAAGACCTAAAGAGACACTTCTCCAAAGAAGATATACAGATTGCCAACAAACACATGAAAAGATGCTCAACATCACTAATCATTAGAGAAATGCAAATCAAAACTACAGTATCACTCACACTAGTCAGAATGGTCATCATCAAAAAATCTACAAATCTACAAATAATAAATGCTGGAGAGGGTGTGGAGAAAAGGGAACCCTCTTGCACTGTAGGTGGGAATGTAAATTAATACAGCCGCTATGGAGAACAGTATGGAGGTTCCTTAAAAAACTGAAAGTAGAACTACCATATGATCCAGCAATCCCACTACTGGGCATATACCCTGAGAAAACCCTAATTCAAAATGAGTCATGTACCACAATGTTCACTGCAGCTCTGTTTAAAATAGCCAGGACATGGTAGCAACCTAAGTGTCCATCGACAGATGAATGAATAAAGAAGATGTGGCGCATATGTACAATGGAATATTACTCAGCCGTAAAAAATAACAAAATTAAGTTATTTGTAGTGAGGTGGTTGGACCTAGAGTCTGTCATACAGAGTGAAGTAAGTCAGAAAGAGAAAAACAAATACCATATGCTAACACATATATATGGAATGTAATAAAAAATAAAAATGGTTTGGAAGAACCTAGGGGCAGGACAGGAATAAAGACGCAGACATGGAGAATGGACTTGCGGACACAGGGAGGGGGAAGGGTAAGCTGGAACGAAGTGAGAGAGTGGCATGGACATATATACACTACAAAATATAAAATAAGATAGCTAGTGGGATGCAGCTACACTGCACAGGGAGATCAGCTTGGTGTTCTCTGACCACCTAGAGGGGTGGGACAGGGAGGGTGGGAGGGAGATGCAAGAGGGAAGAGATATGGGGATATATGTATACATATAGCTGATTAACTTTGTTATAAAGCAGAAACTAACACACCACTGTAAAGCAATTTTACTCCAATAAACATGTTAAAAAAATTAAATGTGCTGTTTTCAGTTCCTATATTTTTTAACATCTTTATTGGAGTATAATAAAGTGAATCAGCTATACATATGCATATATCCCCATATCTCCTCCCTCTTGCATCTCCCTCCCACGCTCCCTGTCCCACCCCTCTAGGTGGTCACAGAACACCGAGCTGATCTCCCTGTGCTATGTGGCTGCTTCCCACTAGCTATTTTACACTTGGTAGTGTATATATGTCCATGCCACTCTTGCACTTCATCCCAGCTTACACTTCCCCCTCCCCGTGTCCTCAAGTCCATTCTCTACATCTGCGTCTTTATTCCTGTCCTGCTCCTAGGTTCTTCAGAACCTTTTTTTTTTTAAGATTCCATATATATGTGTTAGCATATGGTATTTGTTTTTCTCTTTCTGACTTACTTCACTCTGTATGACAGACTCTAGATCCAGCCACCTCACTACAAATAACTCATTTTTATTTCTTTTTATGGCTGACTAATATTCCATTGTATATATGTGCCACATCTTCTTTATCTATTCATCTGTCGATGGACAGTTAGGTTGCCTCCATGTCCTGGGTATTTTAAACAGAGCTGCAATGAACATTGTGGTACATGACTCTTTTTGAATTATGGTCTTCTCAGTGTATATGCCCAGTAGTGGGATTGCTGGGTTGTATGGTAGTTCTATTTTTAGTTTTTTAAGGAACCTCCCTACTGTTCTCCATAGTGGCTGTATCGATTTTCATTCCCACCAAAAGTGCAAGACAATTCCCTTTTCTCCACACCCTCGCCAGCATTTATTGTTTGTACATTTTTTGATGATGGCTATTCTGACTGGTATGAGGTGATACCTCATTGTAATTTTTTTTGGTGTTTTATACACATTTATTTTAAAACATATAAGAAAATGTAGAGTATCTCACAAAGCATTTGATAAAAAATAGCTTTAAGTACAATTTTTAATCTCTAAAGTCTCTACCAAGGATAAGTATATATACACTTTTAGTCCTAAAAGTGCAATTTTAAAGGCAGATTTCAGACCCTTTAAGCTACATGATAGCTAATGGTCAGATAAAGGACATTAAAAATGTGAATTTATAAAATTTGAGTCAATTCATGAAAGTGTTTTATAAACATTATAAACAAACATCTACCATATAATGTGGTAGATTTCATAATCTGTTTACAAATGCTTAAATCCTTTCTTTTAAAACATTATCTTATAAAGTTATTATTATAAAGTTTTAAATATCCTGGTTTAATTTCCCTTATGTCACCTTCACTAATATCAAGCACATGTTTGTACTACACATATATATACGCTACTGTTTTCCTTGCATAATGTCCCTCCATAAGAATATCTTTAGTCCGAGGAAAAATCGCAGCATGGCAAAATGCTGCTTTAACTGCTTAATAAAGTGTTAAGTGCCCAGGTGATCTGGAAATGCTGCTTCAGACTTCTGAGCAGCAATATAGCTCCTCTGTAGATCTCCCATCTTATCAGATACTGTTGCAAAATTAAAATGCAGCTCATACATGTGGGGTGCTAAGGATGAAGCAGCTTGCAACTGTGCAGTGCTCTTGCGTGTTCGACATGGCCCTTCTGCATCTCCAGCATGGTCAGGTTGTTGTAGGTCTCTGCATGGTTATTGTTGTTAACCAGACCCAGCTTGAAGCACTGATGGGCCAGATTCGTATCTCCTATTCCCACAGCTACATGTCCCAAGTTGTGCCAGACCTCAGCTACCTCCTCTTCATTTTCAGCCAGAGAAAAGGCATGTTCAAATGAGGTCAGAGTCATATCATACTGCTGGGCATAGAAGCAACAGAGCCCCAGGTTGTTGAAAAGCTGGCAGTTATAAACACCCATCTGCAGGAATCGCCTGTAAAACCAGAGAGCTACTTCTGGTTGATCAGAATAAAAATGGTTGCTGCCAATGCATGCAATGGCTTCCACCTGAGTGTTGTCCTGTTTCAAAACCTCGTTGTAGTATTCAGTGGCTGATAAAATATTGTTCATTTCCTCATAGATCCTGGCAATTCCACAAAGTAGGGTTACTTCTCCTGGAAACTTATCTAAGCCTTGTTTGAAAAGATTTAAAGCAGTCACAGGTTGATTCAATGAGATGTAAACTTTTGCCAAGTAGAGAAAAGTATCTACCATTTCCTGCTGCTTCAGGGCTGATTTAAATTGTTTTTCTGCTTCAAGATACATTCCTAACCTGTAGTAACATTCTCCAATCTGCACTTTCCATCACCAGTCCTTGTACTGAGAATGCTCTGTGGAAAGGGCAGCCAAATCCACAACAGTCTTAACATCATTTTCATGATGAAAGATATACTCAAACAAAGCCTTTGCCAATTTAGGTTTCTGGGCATACTTTGTTAAATTCAGTCTAGATAAATTTATAAAAGGTCCATCAGGACTTGTAAGCATGGAAGCCATTCCCAGCCTAAAAAATCTTCCAGATGAGCTGGTGATAGGGCAAGCTGTGTAGGCAGTGCTGGGTGTTCTAATGGCCTATTCCATAGTTCCTGGCCTTCCACTTTGTGTGCTGGGTCTAAGGAAACCTATAATGGGTATTTCAGCTTCAGTGATTAGCCTGACAGCTGGACTAGGCCCTCCTGTCTGGTTAGTTCCAGGGAGTTTCAGAGATGTTCCAGGACATGGAATGTGAGCAATAGTATTTTTGTTCAGTATCATTTCTGCAATTCCTTCCTGATCTACGTCAATTTCATCTATGTACACCACTTCATCTAGTGCTCGTGCTTTTAAAATCCAGGCTGCCAGCTTTGTAACTTTGTACACATTACTTCACCATGTGCCTCAGTATGCTCAATCTGGTCATAAGGGGACTTCTCCAGCATCTGCATGCACAGATCTGCCCAGAGCTGGAAATTCCTGTGCCTAAAATAGCTCCAGGCCAGGAGCAACGGCTCCATCTCCAAGCCCATGGCAGCCGGGAACCAGCCGCGAAAGACCAGGGCCCAGCACAGGGAGGGCGGGGGGCAAGGAGCAGCTCATTGTAGTTTTGATTTGCATTTCTCTGATTAGTGATGTTGAGCATCCCTTCATGTGCTTGTTGGCAATCTGTATATCTTCTTTGGAGAAATGTCTATTTAGGTCTTCTGCCCATTTTTGGATTGGGTTGTTTGTTTTTCTGTTATTGAGCTGCATGAGCTGCTTGTACATTTTGGAGATTAATCCTTTGTCGGTTGCTTCATTTGCAAATATTTCCTCCCATTCTGAGGCCTGTCTTTTCGTCTTGTTTATGGTTTCCTTTGCTGTGCAAAAGCTTTGAAGTTTCATTAGGTCCCATTTGTTTATTTTTGTTTTTATTTCCATTTCTCTAGGAGATGGGTCAAAAAGGATCTTGCTGTGATTTATGTCATAGAGTGTTCTGCCTATGTTTTCCTCTAAGAGTTTGATAGTGTCTGGCCTTACATTTAGGTCTTTAATCCATTTTGAGTTTATTTTTGTGTATAGTGTTATGGAGTGTTCTAATTTCATTCTTTTACATGTAGCTGTCAAGTTTTCCCAGCACCATTTATTGAAGAGGCTGTTCTTTCTCCATTGTATATGCTTGCCTCTTTTATCAAAATTAAGGTGGCCATATGTGCGTGGGTTTATCTCTGGGCTTTCTATCCTGCTCCATTAATCTATAGTTCTGTTTTTGTGCCAGTACCATACTGTCTTGATTACTGTGCTTTGTACTATAGTCTGAAGTCCGGAAGCCTGATTCCTCCAGCTCCATTTTTCCTTCTCCAGATTGCTTTGGCTATTCAAGGTCTTTTGTGTTTCCATACAAATTGTGAAATTTTTTGTTCTACTTCTGTGAAAAATGCCATTTGTGGTTTGATAAGGATTGCATTGAATCTGTAGATTGCTTTGGGCAGTATAGTCATTTTCACAATGTTGATTCTTCCAATCCAAGAACATGATATATCCCTCCATCTGTTTGTATCATCTTTGATTTCTTTCATCCGTGTCTTATAGTTTTCTGCATATAGGTCTTTTGTCTCCTTAGGTAGGTTTATTCCTAGGTATTTTATTCTTTTTGTTGCCGTGGTAAATGGAAGTGTTTCCTTAATTTCTCTTTCAGATTTTTCATCATTAATGTATAGGAATGCAAGAGACTTCTGTGCATTAATTTTGTATCCTGCTACTTTACCAAATTCATTGATTAGCTCTGGTAGTTTTCTGGTAGCATCTTTAGGATTCCCTATGTAAAGTATCATGTCATTTGCAAACAGTGACAGTCTTACTTCATCTTTTCTGATTTCGATTCCTTTTTTTCTTTTTCTTTTCTGATTGCTGTGGCAAAAACTTCCAAAACTATGTTGAATTATACTGGTGAGAGTAGACAACCTTGTCTTGTTCCTGATCCTAGAGGAAATGGTTTCCATTTTTCACCATTGAGAACGATTTTGGCTGTGGGTTTGTCATGTATGGCCTCTTTTATGGTGAGGTAAGTTCCCTCTATGCCTACTTTCTGGAGGGTTTTTATCATAAATGGGTGTTGATTTTTATCAAATGCTTTTTCTGCATCTATTGAGATAATCATATGGTTTTTCTCCTTCAATTTTTTAATATGGTTTATCACTTGATTGTTTTCCGTATATTGAAAATTCCTTGCATTCCTGGGATAAACCCCACTTGATCATGGTGTATGGTCCTTTTAATGTGCTGTTGGATTCTGTTTGCTAGTATTTTCAGTTCCTATTTAGAAAAGAAGAAAGGTATAAAAATCTGTGTTTCAGAGATTGGTTCAAGATGGCGGAGTAGAAGGACATACACTCACTCCCTCTTGGGAGAGCACTGGAATCACAACTGACTACTGAACAATCATCAACAAGAAGATGCTGGAACTCACCAAAAATGATACCCCACATCCAAAGACAAAGGAGAAGTTGCAATGAGATGGAAGGAGGGGCCCAATCACAATAATATCAAATCTCACAACCACTGGGTGGGTGACTCACAAAATGGAGAACACTTATACCACAGAGGTACACCAAAGGGACTGAAAGTACTGAGCCCCAATTCAGGCTTCCCAACCTGGGGGTCTGGCAGCGGGAGTAGGAATTCCTAGAGAATCAGACTTTGAAGGTTAGTGGGATTTGATTGCAGGATTTCAACAGGACTTGGGGAAACAGAGAGTCCACCCTTGGAGGCCACACACAAAGTAGTGTGTGCATCAGGACCTGAGGGAAGGAGCAGTAACTCCATAGGAGACTGAACCAGACCTACCTGCTAGTGTTGGAGGGTCTCCTGCAGAGGCAGGGGGTGGCTTGGCTCACCATAGGGACAAGGACACTGGCAGCAGAAGTTCAGGGAAATACTCCTTGGCATGAGCCCTCCAAGAGTCTGCCATTAGCCCCACCAAAGAGCCGGGTAGGCTTCAGTGCTGGATCACCTCAGGTCAAACAACCAACAGGGAGGGAACCCAGCCCCACCCATCAGCAAACAAGTGGATTAAAGTTTTACTGAGCTCTGCCCACCAGAGCAACACCCAGCTCTACCAGTCCCTCTCATTGGGAAGCTTGAACAAGCCTCTTAGATAGCCTCATCCACCAGAGGGCAGACAGCAGAAGCAAGAAGAACTACAATTCTGCAGCCTGTGGAATGAAAACCACATTCACAGAAAGACAGACAAAATGAAAATTCAGAGGACTATGAACCAGATGAAGGAACAAGATAAAACCCCAGAAAAACAACTAAATGAAGTGAAGATAGACAACCTTCTAGAAAAAGAATTCAGAATGATAGTGAAGATGATCCAGGACCTTGGAAAAAGAATGGAAGCAAAGATCAAGGAGATGCAAGAAATGTTTAACAAAGAGCTAGAAAAATTAAGAACAAACATAGATGAACTATACAAAAACTGAAATGAAAAATACACTAGAAGGAAATAATAGAGAATAACTGAGGCAGAGGAACAGGTAAGTGACCTGGAAGACAGAATGGGGGAAATCACTGCCATGGAACAGAATAAAGAAAAAAGAATGAAAAGAAATGAAGACAGCCTAAGATACCTCTGGGACAACATTAAATGCAACAACATTCTCATTACAGGGGTCCCAGAAGGAGAAGACAGAGAGAAAGGGCCCAAGAAAATATTTGAATATTTGAAAATATTTGAAACAATTGAATATTGATTATAGTCGAAAACCTCCCTAACATGGGAAAGGAAATAGCCACCCAAGTCCAGGAAGTGCAGTGAGTCCCAGGCAGGATAAACCCAAGGAGAAGCATGCTGAGACATATAGTAATCAAATTAACAAAAATTAAAGACAAAGAAAAATTATTGAAAGCAACAAGGGAAAAATGACAAATAGCATACAAGGGAACTCCCATAAGGTTAACAGCTGAATTCTCAGCAGAAACTCTACAAGCCAGAAGTGAGCAGCACGATATATCTAAAGTGATGAAAGGGAAGAACCTACAACCAAGATTACTCTAGCCAGCTAGGATCTCATTCAGTTTTGATGGAGAATTCAAAAGCTTTACAGAAAAGCAAAAGCTAAGAGAATTCAGCACCACTAAACCAGCTCTACAACAAATGCTAAAGGAACTTCTCTAAGTGGGAAACACAAGAGAAGAAAAGGACCGACACAAAGAAACCCACAACAATTAAGAAAATGGTCATAAAATATATATATTGATATTTACCTTAAATGTGAATGGATTAAATGCTCCAACCAAAAGACACGGGCTCACTGAATAGATACAAAAACAAGACCCATATATATGCTGTCTACAAGAGACCAACTTCACACCTAAGGACACATACAGACTGAAAGTGAGGGGATGGAAAAAGATTTTGATAGCATATAAAAATCAAAAGAAAGCTGGAGTAGCAATACTCATATCAGATAAAATAGACTTTAAAATAAAAATATTACAAGAGAAAAGGAAGGACACTACATAATGACCAAGGGATCAATCCAAGAAGAAGATATAACAATTATAAATATATATGCACCCAACATAGGAGCACCTCAATACATAAGGCAACTGCTAACAGCTATAAAAGAGGAAATCAACAGTAACATAATAGTAGTGGAAGACTTTAACACCTCACTTACATGAATGGACAGATCATCCAGACAGAAAATTAGAGAAACACAAGCTTTAAATGACACAATAGACCACACAGATTTAATTGATATTTATAGGACATTCCATCCAAAAGCAACAGAATACACTTTCTTCTCAAGTGCACATGGAACATTATCCAGGATAGATCACATCTTGGGTCACAAATCAAGCCTCAGTAAATTTAAGAAAATTGAAATCATATCAAGTATTTTTTCTGACTGCAACACTATGAGATTAAAAATCAATTACATGGAAAAAAATGAAAAAACACAAACACATGGAGTATAAACAATACATTACTAAATAACCAAGAGATCACTGAAGAAATCAAAGAGGAAATCAGAAAATACCTACAGACAAATTACAACGAAAAGACGATGATCCAAAACCTATGGGATGCAGCAAAAGCACTTCTAAGGGGGAAGTTTATGGCAATGCATCCTACCTCAAGAAACAAGAAAAATCTCAAGTAAGCAATCTAACCTTACATCTAAAGGAACTAGAGAAAGAAGAACAAACAAAACCCAAAGTAGTAGAAGGAAAGAAATCATAAAGATCAGAGGAGAAATAAATGAAATAGAAACAATAGCAAAGATCAATAAAACTAAAAACTGGTTCTTTGAGAAGATAAACAAAATTGATAAACCTTCAGCCAGACTCATCAAGAAAAAGAGGGAGAGGACTCAAATCAATAAAATTAGAAATGAAAAAGGAGAAGTTACAATGGACATTGCAGAAATACAAAGCATCATAAGAGATTACTACAAGCAACTCTATGCCAGTAAAATGGACAACCTAGAAGAAATGGACAAATTCTTAGAAAGGTATAACCTTCCAGACTGAACCAGGAAGAAATAGAAAATATGAACAGACCAATCACAAGTAATGAAATTGAAACTATGATTAAAAATCTTACAGCAAACA